TCTGCCTCAGCAGAAGCCCACCCTGAGCACGCCGGGCAGATGTCCCAGCGCGTTCCCCAGTGCTCTTTCCACTACCCAGAGACCCTCGCCTGTCTTGCTCAGGGCAGGACCTGGCACCCAGTAAGGGCAAAGCAAGCGTGTGCTGAATGAATGAGAGATAAATGATGATCGCACATAATCACTATCTCCAAGAGAAACCAGTGAGCCCTTCTAACACTTCAGTCCAGTGCAAGTCCCCTCCCTGCTGTCTGATTCAGGTTGCACACCTCTCCAGACAAGGAGCTCACTACCTTTTGAGCAGCCTGTTCCCAGTCCTGTTCAACTACTCCTGCACAGTTGTGAGAGGTGAATCACTCTGTTATCCCAGCTGCAGCCTGCCTCCCTGTGGCTCTCTCTGGTCCCACACCCTGGCCTTGGAGCCCTGGCAGGGGAGGCCACAGCTCAGAGTGTGAATATGACTTCAGTGGGGACCTATTGTGCAGCCGGACAGAGTGGGGGAGCCATTGTTCCCATGCCACCCCCAGGGGAGCTCCCCCAGAGAGGACAAACCATCCTGCCTGAGCCACACACCTGACCATGTTGGAGAAATGGCCCCTGTGCCTAGCACCTCCTGGTCCAAGTCGGGGAACTGAGGCTCAGAGCAGCTAGGAGCACAGACCTCCAATAATCCCAGCTGGTCTCCGCTGGCCCCCAGACAGATTTCAGATGGCTTCTCGTCCCCATGGGATTCCAGCGACAAAGCCTTCCTGGCGGCTCAGGACACTGGGCTCTCAGAAGGGCCTGGTGCACGTGGGCCAGGTTCACTTGACTATGCAGCCCAGAGATGCATATATTGAAAGAGAACCCTGGGAGAGGGAGCATCCCAGGATCCCCGCAGACCCACTGAGCATCTGGGCAGAGGTGAAGTGGGGAGGGAGCCCTGCAGGGCTCAGGGGCAGGCGCCCGCACACAGCACTCATTCCAGGACTCGGCTTGACCCTGAGCTTTCTGGGCCAGGGCCCACAGCCTGACAGCTGAGGCAGCCTGCGTCACCTGGGGCCTTGGCGCCACTGAGGAAGTCACTGGGAGGTGGCCAAGCATGCCCCAGACCAGCCAGGCCTCCTCCAGCCTCCCCCGACTGCCCACGCCAGCAGAGCACGCAGCTGGTCCCTACCCTTGAGCCTGTGTACACGTGGTACCCAGGAGCACCGTATCCCCAGCCCTTCATCTGCCTGCTCCTGATCCCCACCCCCAGGAAGCCTTGCCTGAGTCCCCACGCTCCTCCCACTGGCAGGTGCCTCATCTGGGGCCCCATCGCCCACACTGGACACCCTGCCCTTTTCCTTGCCTGTCTACTCCAGAGGAGCCTCAGACCAGAGCAGTGGTAAAGAGAGGAAGATTCGAGTCTGCCGGCCCCGGCAGCAGCAGCACTGGAGCTTAGAGGGGCCCTTAGCTTGAGTCCTGGCTTCACCTGCACCTCCACCTTGCTACAAGACCATGAGTACAAATGGGTTCTATCTTGCCACGTGTCCAACAGGTGCCCACGTGGGTGTGGGGGAGGAAGAGGACCTGTGTTCTCCGGCTCTGCTCTGGCCTCAGCCAGCCTGTACCCCCTTCTCCTGCACCCCTGACTTAAACTCCAGGGGCCCCCAGCAGTTTCCAAATCTTCCTGGTCAAATCAATTCTGCAACTAGGGCACTGGGAGTCGGCAAGGGGAGGGGCCCTCACCCCAGCGTGTCCCCCAGGGACCCTCGCTGCCCAGGCCTGTGGCTGCTGGAAGTTGATGGCTATGCGCCGTCCCCCGCCCACCTGCCCGCCACATCTGCTTATGAGTCACCATCACCTCGGCCAAGACAGCGAAATGCGGGGGCTGGAGACAAGGTCAGCCCAAGGGGAATCACTGGGTGGATGGAGGGAGGTGGCAAGGAAGCTTCCAGCCCAGGAGAGCACAGCTGGGGGCAGAGGAGGGAAACCGAAGCCAGAAGGAGGAGGGACCTGCCGGGGACCCACAGAATCGGGCCAGCCTGGGTCTCTGATTCTCCTCACTCTGTCGGATAACTCCGCAGACAGGGACATGGCGCCTGCAGCCTTCACCATCAACTGGGCAATTAAAGCAGGCAGGTGGCCTGCTGGCCGGAACACTCGAGCTGACCAGCGGGGACAACGCAGGTCCCAGTGGGTGACAGGAGCTGGGGGAATGTGCCCCCCCCAAACTTATTCTGCCTGTTCTGTCCTGCTCAGACTCCCGCTGCCCTGGGCCCATTGACAGGGCTGGGCAGGCCTGGGTGTGGATGGGGATGGTGGCCAGGAGGGACGGGGAGAGACAGCCTGTCCTGGGAGAAGGAGAGCCACTGAGTGTGGAGCAGAGGTGAGGCAGGGGGCATCTGTCTCTGCAGGGCTGCCTTGGGGCAGGAGCAGCCGGAGAGGACAGAGGCCCTGGGGAACACAACAGAGATGCCCCTGGCTCCCAACAGGGCATCCAGAAACACTGATCGCTGTGTACAAGCCCCTGGACATCAGACAGCCTGCAGGGGGAGGGGGGCTTTATCACTTCTTTCCTAGGTGTGCAACCTTGGAAAGTCACTTCCTCTTTGGGCCTCAGTCTTCTCAGCTGTAAAATGGGGAGATTCAGCTCAGAGGCCTTGTGAGGATGAGACAGAACACGTGAAATGCTTAGCACAGCACTTGACACACGCTAGAGTCAGCAAAGGCTAGAACAAACAGCGGGTCCAGAGGTTTGCTCCAGCCTGCTAAGACCCTGCAGTTCCAGGATGGGAGCTTATCCCTGGCTCTTTGATAAGGAAAGAAATCTCGTGGCTGATGTGCATTTCCGGGGCCCTCCAGAGGGCTCATGTCCACTCTGGGAGTCAGACCTGGGACCACGATGGGGAGGGGAGAGCCTCGACGAGGACTGGAGGGGGAGGGAGGGAGTCAGCACCAACTGCGCCACTGAAGGGCTTGGGCAGAGGACGCTGGGAGGCCAGGGGCATTTCTTTCTTTCTTGTACTCTACTGCACCCCCAGGGCCTGGGATAGTACCTGGCACATAACAGGTGTTCAGTAAATACGTACAGAGTGGGCGACTGCACACGTTCTTTTCCTGCCTCAGCACCCACCCAGGAGCCTGGGCCCCTCCCCTGTCGACGACCCCACCTCAAGCCCTTCCCTGCACTCCCGTCTGCAGTCCATCCTAAGGCTAAACGCCATCCCACACTCTCTCCTGCTCAAGAACATTCCATGGCTCCCACAGCCTGCAGGCACAGTCCAAGCTCCACAGTCCCCCCCCCCCCCCGCCCCGCCAGCTCTCTCCTGTCCCCACACACAGAAGGTAGGCAGGGCCCGGCATCCCCACATCCTCCTCTTCTGGTTTCTTAACTTCAGCTAACGGCTTGGCTGGCTAAGGAGGGTGGCATTTGCATGTGGGGCAATTGTGGGGAGAGACAGTCAAGGGCTGGGGAGATGGAATTCAAAATCCCAGGTTCCCACTGTGGGCCAGCCCCTGCCCCAGTCTTTCCCAGCTGTAACTGCAGTCCTAGGATGGTGGTTTTTCTTAGACCCATTTTACTGACGGGGAAACTGAGGTTTTGAGTAGCTGCTCCAAGTTACACAGGGGCGAATCCAGGTCTCTTGGGACCAAGACAAGCAGCACAACCCACATCTCCAAGGGCAGAACGTGATGCACAGCACTTAACTGGCTCCTCTGCAAATCTTGGGGACGCCCCGGGATGTATTCAGCTATCCTGCCAGCCTGGGGGCTCCGCCTGTGTCCTCGGGCTTTGTTCAGCGCAACGGGAAGTGGGCAGCCCCAGCACAGGAGTGCCTGGGGACCCCAAGAGATCCCGATCGTGATGCTCACAGGTATCAGCCGCTGTGTCCCTGACGTCAAACACCAGTTTCCCCTCGGCACCCATGGCCCTGCTACCCCTGGACCCTTCCCTGAGGCAGCCCCCATGCCTCAGAGTCTAGATAACGCTCCCAGCAGCTACGAGAGCTGGCTGGAGAGAGCCCCCCAACCCCCCGTCAGCCGTGTGGCTTTGGCAAGTTACTTAAGGTGCCTGTGCTCCGGTTTCCCCCTCTGCACAACCAGGACAAGGACGGGACCGACCAGGCAGGGCTGTCGAGAGGAATGAACGGGTAAGGGCTTTGTCTGGTATGTAGTGGCGCTGCATTAATGTCTGTCGCTGCTGTTCTTGTGAAGGGCAAGATTATTCTTAGTTCACTGCCTGAAGCTCAGAGATTCTCCCATGTGGCAGACGGAAAAACAGCAGCCGGGGGGGGGGGGGGGGGGTGGAGCCTGAGGTCACACAGCTCCCCCGACCCTCCCCACCCCAACCCCAGGAGGGTGCAGGAGCCCGGTATCCACTGAGCCTGGCCCCACGCCAAGTTCAGGCTTTGCCCACGGCTCCCCTGCCCAATGCTGCAGCTGCCCTGCACGCACGGCACCTTCCCCGCCAGCCCCCCAGCCACCGGACAGCCCCGTAGCCCTCACAGAATCCCGGGACACCAGGAAAGTAGGGAGGGAGACAGACAGAGTGCAGGAGAGACCCGGGGAAAAGCAGAGCTGGGGCCGAGAGACCCAAAGACGAAGGAGCGACGGAGGGAGGTGGAGACAGCGATTGGAGACTTGGGGTCCAGCGGAAGGCAGACGGGGAGGGAGGGAGGGAGGGAGGTTGTGGGGAGGGACCCAGGAGTTAGAGAGGCTCAAGCAAACAAAGACAGGAATGGCAGAGAGGCCCCCAAGGAAGCTGGGAAGGCGGAGAAGAGCCGGAGCTGGAGCCAGAGTGAGAGTAAGGGCTGTGGCTGAGCCGCTGCCCCAGAGAGGAGACAGAGACCCGCACCAGGGTGCAGCACAAAAACCCAGCTCTGCCAAAAAGGCCAGGCAGGGCGGGACAGGGACTGACTGAGGGCAGGGAGGGGACCCGGCTGCACCCTCGGAGGCACCTCTGCCTCCACCTCCCACCCAGAGCCCCCAGAGCACCCAGTGCCCAGTTCCAGTCGCCAACTCATGTCCCCATATGGTACCTTTGGGACGCCGCCTCACCACGCCCAGCCGCCACTTGAGTGACACAGCCAGCATCACGCCCTCCTGCTGGTGGCCAGATAGGAGCCCTGCCGACCCCAGTGTGTTTGCTTGTCTGTCTGTGCTCCAGAGCTGCCCGCGCTAACCAGCAGGGCTGGGCGCTCCCTGCCTTCTCCCACCCTCCCTCCCTCCCTCCCTCCCTCTCCGAGTTGCTAAAATAGATAATCCTCCCCGGAGCCAGCGCCAGCAAGATCCCAGCCCATCGGCACCCCGCCCCCCAGGTCCTCCTCTCGCCAAAGCGCACATCCAGCCCACCCGCCGCTCTGTCACTCTGGATGGGGACTCGCTGGAGCAGACCCCCTGCACTCACACATGGCCCTCCTCCAGCCCTGCTCCAGCCCCAGGGACACCTGGGTTTCAACACAGCATCCCCCCTTTCTCTGCGGGGATCCGGTCCAGGACCCTCAGCGGATGCCTGAACACAGCCACCTATAGTAAGGCTGCATGTATAGAACAGGCAACAACGACAACAATGACTAACAGTGAAGCAGAACCATAGCACCACTACACTATAACACAAGTTATGAGTGTGGGCACCCATTCAAAATACCCTACTGTGTTTTCCTACCCTTCTTACAGTGATGGGGGACAGTGTGCTGCTTGTAGGTGAGACAGAGGCCACACGAGCATCGAGTGAAGGTGTTAATTAGCCTTTTGGGAGTGTGAGCACCGAGATACCCACACAGTCCACCAATCACCTCCACTGCTGCTATGTGACGAACAGGTGGGCAGCACATACCCTGTGGGTCAGCTCGACACAGGGCTCTCTCACGTCCCAGGTAGGATGGAGCAGGGCAGTGTGATATCCCATGATGCTACGCAGAGCCTATGAAGCCTTTCTTCTTGAAATTTTCCACTTAATATTTTTGCACTGAGCTGATGACAGGCACCTGAAATTCAGTACAGCAAAACCACGGATAACTGGGATGAGAGTTGTGCATTTCAGACTGGTGTGTGCTTTTGTTCCCAGGGCAAGGGCCATCTGTCCCGTGTCCCCAGTGGGCAGCACAGCTGGGCATGTGATGGGGTCATCAGGGTAGAGGAGGACACTTCACTCCTAGCCTCCACACCTCCTCATTTTAACACAGGGAAGAGAAACCACCCACAGTGGTCGGGTGGGGCAGAGTCCCCAGGGCTCCGGGGCACCCAGCACGAGTTCAGCAAACACACCAGGCAACCAGATTGCCTCCTCTCTGATTCCCCAGTCGCCCCTGGAATTGGCAGGGCAGGCAGCGGCAGGCAGGGGAGCAGCGGCATGCTCGGTGTTACAGCAGCAGCAGCAGAACCTGGGCTCCTGCCACTCCCCACCTTGCAGCTCTGCTTCTTCCTTCCTCTGGCCAACCTCCCACAGCCCCTGTGCTGACCAGGAGGGCAAGAGGCCCCTCGGGAATCTCGGCAGCCACATAAATCAGGCTTCAGGTCGGAACCGGCAGTGAGCACTTCTCTTGAGGAAGTCCAGGGTCTGGGGGCCCAGCAGGTTAAGCCAGCATCCCATATGGGTGCCAGTTCAAGTCCCAGCTGCTCCACTTCCAATCCATGCTAATGAGCCTGGGACAGCAGCAGAACATGGCCTGGGATGAAAGCTCCAGGCCCAGCCCAGCCCTGATCACTGGGGCCATCTGGGGAGTGAACCAGCAGATGGAAGATCTCTTTTTCCCTCTCTCTCTCTCTCTCTGTGTCTGTCTGCTCTGCCTCTCTGTGTGTGTCTCTCCCTCCCTCCCTCTGTAAACTCTCCCTTTCATATAAATAAATAAACAAACCTTAAAAATAAAACCTCTGAGGTTGGTGCCGCACACAGCCCCTCGAGTGCGGGATTCCCACCGTGGAGGGAGCACAGGGCAATTTCGGGTGCACAGCACTGAGTACAAACAAGTTACACAGTGGGAAAGGGCCCCCCCGACCCCGGCGATCTCCCACCCCTTCTGACATCCTCCTGGACGTATCCTGGGGAAGAACTGATCCTAATGTGAAGAGGTCGGGAGGCAGGAGAGTGAGCCACAAGTGTCCAACAGCAGGATCTGGACGTTGTGATGGGCCTGAGAGGGGAGAGCTGTGGAAGCCCAGCACACCAGCGGCCATGCCATTTGAGGGGTTCAGGATCCACAGGGAAGTCTTGGGCCCAGCCTATTTGGAGCTGATTGGGAAGATGGGTCCACGGATCCCAGGAGATCCAGGGCCTCCCTGGTGCCTGAGTAGAGCTGGGGAAGACCTGGTCACAACCCTCTAAGGATGCTTAGCCAAGGAAGATCCTGCTTGCCCCCGAGTCTCAGTTTAAGATTCTGCACCTTACAAGGCTGCAGGAAGGACACAATGATTCCACACAAAGCATCTGTACACAGTAGGTGCTCAACACATGCCTCCTCTCCCCACGTGCACTCCAATTTCTCCTCCAGAACCTGTCCCCTTTTCGTTGAGCAGCATCACCCCCACTTCTTTGGGGGGCTACTCCTTCCCTGCACTCCGTCTGGGTGGAGATTTGTCCCCCAGCTGCAGGAGGAGCCCTCAACCCAGGGGAGCCAACCCACATGCAGTGATTGGCTCAGAGATGAGTAGGTGACTCAAGTGAGCCAATGAGGGACTATTCTGGGACTTTGGGCGGAACTTCTAGGAAAGGGCGGCTCCCTTGGCAGGCAGAGAAGTGGTGCCAGTTTGGGGCTACAGGTGGCCACTGAGGCACCAAAATTAGAGAGGACAGAAGGGAGGGGATAAAGAGGGGGGTTGTCCAATCCCGATGATGATGTCATGCCAGCACCTGGACCATGCCTGAAGTTGTGTATCCCTCTTCAGTATCTTAAGCCAATAAATTCCCTCCTTCCCTTGAGCCAGTTTTAGGCTGAGTTTTTAGCAACCTGGACCCATAAAGTCCTGATTAATCCAGTGTCTTCCTCGTCTCAGGGTCCCAGGCCCAGCAAACAGCAGGAGCTCTGCAAAGGCTGAGGGGATGAGAAACAGAGCACGGAATACCATGCTCCCCAGACTCCAGCCTCAGCAGGGGCCCCCAACACTTGACCTTGGGGAAGGAGGCCGGAGCTGGCTGAGGAACTCCTGCAGGCACACACAGCCCAGGATCTCGGGGTCCGGGGTTCCATCCAGCTGAGGCCTGCCAGTTACCTGAGCTGCACTGCCCTGCCAGGCCCCGCTGTGCACCTGCGACTTTTACAAGGCAGTCCCAGGGAGGATGAGGGAACAGAGATCCCTTACAGGAGAAGTGACCATGGGAACCTGAACCACTACACAAACAGCCCTGGAGATCAGCCTGGGCTGGAGCTAGGAGGCCCGAGTTCAGCTCCCAGCTACTGGGTAGCCTCAAGCAAGTTCCTGCTCGTCCCTGGCCCCCGTGGCTACACGCCATGGTCCCCTCAAGCTTCCCCACGTCTTCTGTCTCAAGGCCCAGAGAGGTTCCCCTGCTGCTGACGGCTGCACAGACATGAGGGCTGCCAAGCCGAGATTCCAACACAGGACTGACTGGCAGCCCCCACAGATGAGCCACACAGAGCCCAAACAATGGGGAGAAGATCCCCAAGGGAGCCGGGCCAGCCTCCACCAGCTCCGCTTCTTCCATTTCTGCCTCTACTTCACAAAGCCCCAGGGGCCCTGGGCTGCTGCCGCCCCCGCTGGCTTCCCGAAACAAATCAGCATCTCATCAGAGAGGCCTTTCATCTTCCGGCCTTTTCTTCCCCGGGGGCCAAGTCCCGACATTTCTGCTGCTGGATCTCAGGAAGACAGAGGCCTCCAAGCCTGATGGGGGTGGGGGGCGCTGACCACCCAGCCACTCGCTCAGCAAACACTTGCCGGGCCCCTTGCCTGTGCCAGGCCTGGAGCGGCAGCCATGAACAACCCCAGGGCTTCGTGGTACTTACTTCCTAGTGGGGAAGAGAGAATAAAGGACAGGTGCAATAGATGAGTAAATCGGCACGGGCATCTGGTGAAGCGATTGAGACGCCACTCGGGACAACGGCACCTCACGTCGGCGCGCCCAGCTTCCAGCCCCCACTCGGCTTCTGGCCCGGCACCCTGCCGGTGCTCACCCGGGAGGCCACAGCACCCTGTCGGTGCTCACCCAGGAGGATGCAGGCGACGCAGTCCTTGGGTTCTCTCCCTTTTTCTTTTTTTAGATTTATTTATTTTACTTGAAAATCAGAGTTACACACAGAGAGAGAGAGAGAAAGAGAGAGAGAGAGAGGTCTTTCATCCACTGGTTCACTTCCCAGATGGCCATAATGGCCAGAGCTGCACCAATCCGAAGCCAGGAGCCAGGAGCTTCTTCCGGGTCTCCCACGTGGGTGCAGGGGCCCAAGGACTTGGGCCATGTTCCACTGTTTCCCAGGCCACAGCAGAGAGCTGGATTGGAAGTAGAGCTGCCGGGACTCGAACTGGCACCCATACAGGATGGGGGCACTGCAGGTGGCAGCTTTACCCACTATGCCACAGCACCGGCCCCTGGAGCCCCTCCCTTAATTCCCTGCTCCTGGCTTTGGCCTGGCCCAGCCCCAGGTATTACAACCGTTTGGGGAGTGAACCCGTGGATGGAAGATCTCTCTCTCTCTCCTCTCTCTCTCTCTCTCTGTTGTTCTGCCTATAAAATAAATTTTAAAATAAAACTTTAAAAAAACAGTCAATGATGCAACATCTTAGAAGGTGAGCAATCAACGGACCAAGCATGATTACGGAGCAGGTGATTTTTGGCAAGAATTGTGTGTCTCTACTAAGTGCCGAGAGCCAGGGGGTGGTCTCCCCAGACCAAGGACTCTAAATACCTTCACCCAGGGCTCCCTAGGGCAGTGGCTATCGCATGGCAGGGGGGAGGGAGGTCTGAGAATAGTGGGCACCCCTTCCTTAGAGTACCGGAAGGTCAAGAAAATTAAAATTATAATTCTTACACAAGTGAAAACCAGCCTCCGAGGAGGAGCGGCTTAAGGGGGGAGGAGGGAGCCCCCTGAGGGGGCTGGAGGCAGAACGAGCTGGAGAGACAGGGGTGCAGCAAGCTGGTGAGCAGGTGGAGGAGGTAACCATCTGACCTGAGACGTAACAGCGCCCCTTTGGCTGCCGGGGGCAGAAGAACTGCAGGGCTCGGGGAGCAGAGG